CAAAATATGAAAAATAAACATTTTTATGCTTTGTGTATATCATTTGCTTTAGTCTTAAGTTTTTAATGGACCACATTTACATCACTGTACTGTATTATACTTTTAAATAGTATACATTTTGATGTTTTGATATTTGCCAACTGGTTAGGAAACAGGTATGCTTGATACTATGCATATACCTTCTGAACAGGCAAAAGCATTTGTTACCAGTTTTATGGACTATTTTTTTTCATTTAACGAAGTAATAGTAAGTAATTGATCACTACACTAGTCCCAGAGCGTAATAAGTTCAGGTGATTCGCAAACATGACGTGAAAGAGTTGATAAAAATGACTTAAGGTGAAATGATTGAAATGATTACTGTAAAAAGTTTTGTGATCAAGCTCTGAAACTATACACATTAACATTTTAATATAACTAGCTCCAGTGTGTTTAAGCTAACATGTTCAGATTCAGTTGAAGTTTGAATGTGTCTTTCTGTAGTATGCTCATTTCATTGTGATGTAAGAACATGAATAAATTATAAGTGGCAATTAGATCATTTGTCTTAAGTATCTAGTTAATAATTACTGAATCTTATGCTGATTCCCTATTCTCCTCCTTTTTAAATCTGTCCATGTACTATTTTATTCCTCTGCATTATACTTCTGGATATTCTCACTAGAAAGGGTGAAACAGAATTTTTGTCTGCTTTTTATCTTTTATTGTCTCTGAATTCTTAGTTATTTATAAATATTTCCACTTTTATTTTGTAATACTAACATTAGTAATAACATTGTAACTTACTGAATGATGTATGTTTATAGATTTATTTATTGAATGATGTTTATATAGTAGTTCTCATTGAAAACAATACAATAGTTTCATAGAAACTAAATAACTGATACCTCTGCTCCCTCTTGTGGTAACTACTAAGTTTTATGAAAATGCTGTTACTTGCAGTTACTAACTCATTAAAATTTTACCAGTGGAAACAGAAATTTGGATAGTCCAAAGACATTTTAGAACTCATTTCAGTTGGGCTTTGTGATAATAAGAAAATTGTGGAAATTGTGGCTCAGGTGTTAGACCCCAAATGCATGTTAGGTTCCTCTTCAGAGCCTGGGCACCATGGGAGATAAATATGTGGTCCAGACATTTGCAGTTTAAATCAAATTACATTTAATTATTTTTAAAGATTTATTTATTTATTCATATAGAACTGGGGTACAGGCCAGAGATGCGGGAAGGTGAGAGGATTCACCAGGGACAGAATGGGGAGCAGAACAGGCAGATCAACAAAGTACACTGCTGACGGGAGCAGCGGGTCAGGAGAGGTCTGCTGCGCCATGTGAATCTCCTCCCTGGCAGGCAGGGATCGAACTCATGTGGAAGTGGCTTAAGCTTCTTAGTGCTGTGCTTTAACCCACTGCACCACCAGGGAGGACCCCATATTTAATTTTTAATTAAAATGAATTGGGAACTTCAATTTAAAAACTTACCAAGTTATTCTAACATACAGTCTGGGTTGAGAACCACTTGAAGGTAACAGTTTTGCTTCTACAATTAACTGGTTTTGTATATAAGAGGGCACATTACAATTTTTAAGAATTTATGTACCCATTTTGTACCTAGCAATGTGTGAAACACTTTCACAAGTGTTTTTCAAGGCCCTGTTTTTATACATAGGAAAAGTTTCAAATGGTAAATAATTGGTTTCATGATATACCTAATTAGGAGAAGGATTGGAAAAACATCTGACTTTAAATCTTACTTCTTTCTCACCACTCCACATGTGTGGAGATCTCAAAATCCTCAACTGAAATGATCTCAAATTAGTTCACTTTTAGACCTATTCTTGATATACCTTTTGCCTGTTTTATAAATTATATTTACACAAAATTCTGAAGGCACTGAGAACTTCAAGATGCCATGTGACTCCGATTTCTCTGGCTTTCCTCAAGCAGTCTTCTATGTTGTATATCACATGCAAACATCATTTTAAGGGTTTCAAAGAGGGGAGGGAGAAAAGCTACAGTGTTGAATTTTATATGGTGATAACATAGATACAAATTAAAAAATGCATTTACACTATCTAAATTAGTAATTGTTGACTTTGATTTTAAAGTTTATCGACTAACTGGTAGATTATCGACTAACTAGTATAAATAAGCTAGATTAGATCCAACTACTACAAACAGAAAAAATAGTGTATTATGTTAGAATTTTATTGTTAGTACTCTTACTAATTTGATTATTTTCAGCCTTATAAACAATTTACAATATAGGATACCTAGGTTTTTTTCATAACTAAAATTTAAATTTCTGTGTACCTATTTTTTTTTACTATTTAACTATTAAAACAGTAAATGTTGATTTAGAAAAAACTTCATATCTCCAAATACAAAATAATAATGGAATCTATTGAATGCAAAGTTAATTTTATGCTTAATCTATTAGATTACCACATTCTTATGAATACTAACATTTTTTCCATTGACAGTCTGTACATTTCTTGTAGTGTGTGTGTACATACACATGCACAGTCATGTTTTTCAGCTTATTTGAAATTCTTACTCTATTTGATTAGTCTATTTTTTTATTTAAAATATAGCACATACATACGGTTAAAACATGTTTCAGACATTAAGAATGTAATCATGAAAATACCTCCTTCCCTCCCTAGAATTCAGCCCCATCCTTGGAAGCAGCTGCTTATGCGTTTTTAGTGTTATTTTTCTGTTTCATTTAATACAGATGTGCATATGAGTTGTAATGAACAGATTGCACTATATCTTATACACTTGATGTATTCTAGTTATTTATCACATTCTAAATAAATATTGAGATATTGGTGACATTGCAGTTTTAATTTCTGCCTTTTATTATGGATTATTTCCAATGTCAATTACTATTCGATTTATAAAGTAATCATAAAATACCCATGTAATTTTAAAATTGAACAATTCCATCTCTTTAAAGTTATAAGTAGTATTTGTACTAGAAGTTAATGCATAGTATATTCTACATCTGTGTTTATGATACTGTTTAAAAATCTTTTGTATGTTAATGAAATTATTTTGTGTTAAGATTACTGGAAAAAGAAGCAATGATCGCTCCCTTAAGATATTTTCTTAAAGTGTAAAGCTTGTTTCTAAAAGTCACCTTGCTGTAGAGAATAAGCAGAAAGCAAATAAAAAACAGTGATGTCTTTACAGCTAGTATAGTCCCTTTTGACCGAGAAACCATGATGTCTACCTTCTTAACACCTCTCATGATGCCTGTGCATTCAGCTTAGTAGAAAACTTCAGATTTTACCAGTGTTGACCTTTTTTATTGATGTCCGTGTAGCCTTAGTTTTGTTTTTTCACATAAATGATTAGTGTAACTAGATTATTAATAGATAATGAAGAGGCTAAAGTAGTTTCTTTTAATTAACAAACTAATAATACCTAGTGAAAATTACATTCATTCCACATAACACATTCTTACCGTGTATGTAATATCAAATAATTGGAGCTTAATTTGAAGTTTCTATCTAAACCGAGGAATACTTTGTTCATTTTTTCCTGCCATTTTATTTCTTTGTGGGAATTCTTTGTGGAAGTTCTCAAAATACTAACTTTTAGTACTAAATCAAAAAATAATCACTGTGCTTTTTAAACTTTTCGCTATTTTTTTATTATTTTGGGGGAAAAAAGACATTTTGGTCATAGTCCAATTGTCTAACACAAGGAGGTGTTAACGTAAGGAGTGAGTCTTGCTTTTTAGATGAAGGCTAATAGAAACAAAATATGACAAGAAAAACACTTAAGATTGCTGCAATCAGAACAGTCTATTTAAAAATGTTCTGAATCTATTTCACAATTAGAATCTCAATATTGAATGCAATGTTAATACACTAAGTTAAAGCATCATTTAACTTGGGCTTCGAGATAGTACCTAATATTTTGGTTTAATTTTTATATAGACAATTTTATGCAAATTTTAAATTTATATGTAAGTAAACACATTCTATAAAAATATGTATAAATATATAAATAATCTAGGCATTTCCTAGATTACAAACCACTTTGATGGTCCTCTAAATACTTACATATGATAGTGATTTTATTGGTTTTTAAAGTAGAGAAATACTTACATATGATAGTGATTTTATTGGTTTTTAAAGTAGAGTTTAATGATGTTCAGTAGAAGGCAAAGTACCTAAGATAAGGGTAAGATATGGAAATTATGTATAAGGCATATAAAATAACACTTAAGACACTTTCCTAAGAGATCAGTCTCAAAAGCAGCAAGTATGTAGAGTGGAAAACTTTCAGAAGCTTGAAGAGGAACTAGATTAAGATTGTGTAATACTTTCATATGGGCAGATAGCATGCCCAATAGCTTGAGGAAATTGGAATCTTGTCTGTATTTTCAGTGAGCCACCACCAGGATGGGGAGAGGATCCATCTCAAGATATTACGTCTTAGGCCTAAGAAAACTTATTCCCATTTCTGGAATGGCACTCACCTTGGCCAAGTGTACAAAGAAATACTGAATAAAAAGTGAAGTATCTGGAATAGAAGAATAAAAACTATTCAGGACCTGCCTGAGGACTAAGTTCTAATACACTTTGGGGATTGCAAGAGGCACACAATGTTTGTGGCCCTGGCCCTCAAAGGATTTAATACTTCCTGGGTAGCAGAGGTTGGGTGCCATGAGATACTTAGTATCTATGTGAATCCAGGGTTTTGGGCATTTTAGGATTACCAAATTTTTACCATAAGTATAAATTAAAAAGATTAATTTTATAGTGTTCTACAGAAGTAGATAAGCTACTCCTTGGGAGAACTGAACTGTTTTTTTTCCAAGTCAAAAGTAAATAGGTTCCATTCACCTTTTTAAATTGGGCTAATAGATCTCCATATAGTTCATGTCTTCTTTAAATGCTCGTGTGATAAATGAGCAGAAATTATAAGAGCTCTGTAAAGATCTTTTTAATACTTTTTATAAAAATGCTGCTGCTACAATTGCAGGTCCTTTTGGAATAAATCATGGGATTGAGCTTCATTCAGATGTGGTGGAATATGCCAAGGAAAAGCTGGAGAGCTTCATCAAAAATAGTGATAGCTTTGATAAGTAAGTATTCATATCTATAGTTTTGGTTTGAAATCATTTGATAAATAGATATATTTGACATGTTTGTTCCTTAAGACAATTAGCTTATTGATCCCGAATTTCTCAGTTAAATACAGCAAAAGTCAATCTGGCATAAAATGAGAGAAAATTTAGTTAGGAAAATTATTCTATATGCTAATTTTGTACATTAGTCTATAATGAAAAATAACATACTGCTTAATTTTATGCTGCTGTTATTTTTCTAGTTGGGTGACAGTCCCATTCATATTACTTACAAATACCTTTTCTGAAGATCTGTAAAGATGCTTGGCATTAGAATACTTTTCTTGAACTGGTTTTATGCCTTTGGTATAGTAATTTTATAGTTTTGTCCTCTAGATTTGTAACCTGTGCATGTACAAAGGACTTTTCTTATAAATGATTACAGTATACTATATTTATCATAGAAGAAATTATCATAGAAATAAGTAGTATAACTTGTGGTAAGGTTGTATTATAGAAATTATTCTGAACTCATACTTTCCAGAAGACACTTCACAGGCTTCAGTCATGCTGGCTGGCAGGGTAGCCTGGTGCATAGTGTTGCTAAAATTCAGCACTAATAATACTGTAGAGTGCAAGGACTTCTTCTAATGTCTAGTATAGAATGAAATAATACAAAATTTGGAAGGCATTTTTATCTAAACTAGTCATATTTTCAAAGAAAAAAGATGCCTTTAAAAGGACAGGAACAGCAAACTAAAACTAGAGGTGCTCTGTAACCACTGTTCTCCAACTTGGCTTATTGGGAGTGGGTCTTCCTCACCCATTGCTAGATCCTGGCCATGACCATAGAGGTGAGAAACTTGGGGGTCGGGGGGAGTGGACCAGAATTAAGGGCTTATATCTAGAGAATGTAGACTCTGGTAACAAAGCCATAAGGGAAACAGACCCTGTGAATAGTTGCTGGTGTGTATTTTTCTTTCTCCTTGTTCTCTGCTGCTTGTCTGCCTTTCCCTGCCCTTTGCATCCATTCTTCTTTGCCATTGCAAACTTTATGTGTATCCTCTGATTGGCTGAGGCAAATCCTCAGTGTTAGAGAGGAAAGGGGGCTTGTGTTTAGGTATGATTGTAATTGTATTTTAAATACCTCAGACAGGCAAGCTTGGATGAGTTGGAAAATGCTTAGGTCTTAATTTGATTCTATAATTAATATAATGGATTTGAGCAAGCCACTTGAGTTTGCTGTATCAGTTTGTTGAACACCACCTTATTTATACCTTCCTTTATAAATAATTAACATTTCATAATTTGAATCATTTTTCAAGTGCTTAATGTGTTGGTTCATATTCTATTTTCAAGAATATTATTGTTTGACAGAAATAAAGGTTCTAAGCCAGTTATTTTATCGTAAATTGGATTCAGTTTTAGCATCCTTTCATATCTTCATTCTTTTCTTGCCTTAAATTAATATCAGGGTAAGTGCTTAAGATGTAGACATGGATGTTATAATATTTATTAAAACTAAAATCTTGTTAAGTTTGAATTCATGCTGCTTTTAAGTCTTTGTTTTGATGTTGAAACAATATATACAGAAGTACCTTTTGAGTGTATTTGAACTAAGAAAATATGAAAGTAATTAGCTAAAATATTTGAGGTTTATTGTAAAGTCCTGTATATTAGGTAGTTATATATCCCATGTATTATTAATACATGAACACAGATAATTCCATTTTGGTTCATTAATTGAGCAGAACAAACTCAAGGAGGAAACTTGAATCACTGAAGCACCTTTATACAAGTTCTTTGGAACTCCAGTTTATTGCTGACAAATGGGTATGGTCCTGGAAACAGTAAAATGTGTAATTTAAAGCATTAACCATGTTGATAAAGTTTAAATAAATGAAAATTGCTTTGATGCTTTTGTGTAACAATCAAATTTATATGGTTTGCATTTTTTTGTATTTTTTTACTACTGTGCAATATGGACTATTTATTCATAATACTGAGTCATGAAATATAATGTCTGATCAAATTGTTCCTGTAAGCTATCTAGTGGTCTGTTTATTTTAGTAGAAATAATCAAGACTTTATATTACATAAATTGTAAAGTTGTATTGGAGAGTTACAATTTATTTTGAAAACAAATTCTTGTATTAATAAACTGGTCATAAAAATGAGGCAGTTTTAGAAATATTCCCTAACTTGGTTTTTAAGTAGTAGTATAAAATATTGGTTATGTATTTTAAATTGTGAAAGTTATTTTGTATATAAAGGGTATTAGATACTGGGGAAATATTTAATTTTGCGTAGTAGAGAATTAAGTAGTCAAATTTAATGAGTAATTCAATGGATTCTTTTTGGTTTATATAATTTGGTTTTGGTGACAGATTATAAAACTAAATTTCTCACGTATGGTTTTAATTATTATACTGTTATCTTAAGGTTTTCAGATGTTTGCTTATTTTGAATCTTTTAAATTTGAAAGGCTTGCTATATAAAGTGATTTTTAAATTCCCATTTCCTGGCAGTTTTACTAAATATTAAATATAGTTGTTTACAGGTCATCAGTTTATTTTAATTAACAAAATATATAAAGTAACTTAGGAAAATCACTATTTATATATTCTTTTGTACCAGATTATCTTTGTGCAAAAAAGAAGTATAGATAGCTAAAACCTAATATTCTTCCAGCCTGTAGGTTTTATTCTTTTATTAATCAGTTCCTTTTTCAGAAGTATTGTCATGTCACTTATGATTAAAAGGTCCTTCAATAATTCTTTACATCTGTTGGCAATTATAGTGAATTTCCAAATGTAACAGAAAAAACCCATAAACCAACTAGTCAACACTACAATATATTATATAAGATGACCTTTTAAGAAAGATAAATGTGTTGTTTTGGGGTATGTACAAAGCAAGCTTAGTTCCTGAGTCTTGAATGTGGTATTCCTTCTTATAAAAAAGGTTCCCTTTATATCATGTATCAATTCAACTTTCCATGATTTAGTCCTATGTCAGCAAGTGAACTGACTTGGAGAGGCAACTTTGAATTTACTGCACTGGGAAATGTGATGAACAGGGTTCTCTTATAATTTGTTCCTTTGATACCAATGTTATTCTTCCATTCACTGAAGTTCCCTTAGAAAACTGACATTTGATACCAAGGGTTTGGTAAAACACACACAAGCTTTACCACTAATGACCAGATAGTAAATATTTTAGATTTCCTATGCTAACTTGTGTTTGTGCAACTCTTAAACCTGACATTGTAGTGTAAAAGCAGTCCTAGACATAGAAAATGCATAGGGTGGGTCTAGTGTTATATAACACTTGCTTTTAAAATAACAAAGCACAGACTATACTTGGCTTGTTACCTACTTTTCTACTCTTCATTCATACACTGCTGATGTCCATAGCCACCTCTGACTTAGTTGTTTGGGCCTAGGTCTTAGTCTTAACTGTCTCTAGGTGTCTGGCTTTCTGGAAGAAAGCAGCTTGGGGACTGTCAAGAGATAAGAGCTAGTGTTTGTGCAGGTACAGTAAGCAAAATAATCTCTTCAGGTGTAGTTACTTGGAAGATTAGGACAATAAAGGAACCTGGAACCTGAATTGTAGACCTTTACTTTATGAGTACTTTGCAAATGACTTGGTTATAGGTATAGTTTTTTTTTTTTTTTTAAAGATTTATTTATGCATACAGAACTGGGGTACAGGCCAGAGGTACAGGGGTGGTGAGAGGATTCACCAGAGACAGAGTGAGGAGCAGAACAGGCAGATTGACGAAGTACACTGCTGAGGGGAGCAGCGGGCGGGTCAGGAGAGGTCTGCCGCGCCATGTGGGTCACGTCCAGGGCAGGCAGGGATCGAACTCATGTGGAAATGGCTTTAGCTCTTTAGTGCTGTGCTTTAACCCGCTGTGCCACCAGGGAGGGCCCTATAGGTATAGTTTTTAAAGCTACATTTATGTGTTTATGTAATATGCATGCACATGTACTTGACATCCTAGGATGCATGCTTTGGAGTGTTTCATTTTCTTTTAAGAAAAGAGGTCAGTAGATCCTGTTTCCCCCTCCTCCAAGGATACAACAACTAATTGTGGAAATATTTATCATTAGTAACCAAATGAGTACAATATAGTCTAATTCATTGAAGATTTTCATTCTATTTGAACACAGGACCATTGTTTCTATATAGTTTGTATAGATGAGTCACCATAGAAGTACTAAAAACTAAAGAGATTTTAAAAAGGACATTTCATCCTTTTTTTTCCCCCAGTGTTATTTACCATCTTAAGTGCTTTATTAATATTTCTAGAGATGATTTTGGTGTCCACATTTCCCAGGTGAGAATCAGAGAAATTATAATCTAAATTAGACTGGTCTTTTTATTTAGTTCCAATTTAACTGTGACTGTTAATATTCTCAGCAATAAGCTGTTACCAATGAAATATAGCCCCAGTACAGAAATAGAAGTAGCACTTTAATTCATTTTTTTCATTCAGTTTAGAAGTGAAGAGTACCCTTAAAATGGTTATGTATACTGTAGCATTCTAAAGAGCATACCTACTCTGTTCATTAATGAGACTCGCCTATGGTGTGTATAACTGTTGGGAACAGGGATGAATGGCTGGGTAGTGCTTTCCTCAGTTGAATTGAGGTGTAAGTTTTAAATCCAGAGAGAGTGTAATCTTTCACATTTTAGGATATCTTATTTATGGCCTAATTTTATTTTCAATTATAGGTTCTTTCCTCACATAATTTTATTTGCATTGGAAGACTCAAATATGTCTATTTTCTGTCAGCTTTATTACTAGAAGCTGTAGTCTGCTTTATCTTCCTACGGTACATTTGAAGTATTTTTGGTATACGTAGTATGAATAGTCAATATTACTTCAGACTACTTACCAGATAATTTGAATGTTTTGACATACTTTTTGAATACTATTCAGATGGTAGTCTTCCAACAGTTATAAACATGACAAACATTAAAATGGAGGAAGAGAAATACTTAAAGATCAT